ATTTTTTGACATTGGTCATATTTTTCTGGTTCTAGATAATTTGATAATAATTGATTTGGTAAATTTAAAAAATATATTTTTTAGGAAAAAATTTGCAGTGCCATTCTGAAGTAAGGTTCCACTCCAATTACCTCATTATAGTTAATAAATTGGTTGTGATTATAAGCAAAATGGTACAGTTTTATTAACAAAAAATTATTTTTCCATTTTTAAGTCTGATGTAAAATAAATCAATACTTGAACCAATAATTCATTTGGATTTTTATATGGATTGTATAAATGATGTCTTCATCACTTTTAGGATTTTTTTTCCTATCTGCAACATTGAAATGCATGAAGTATTTGAACAGGACAGGGAGTATATTAGATATTTTATACCTTTTATCCATATATATCATTTCATTTCTGCACCTGTAATTTACTTACAGTCTTACAGAAGCAGAAACAGATAACAAGTAGGCATTTAGGAGTTTTTCTGTCTTGGTAAGCACAGAGGCTTCAATGGTGAATTCTATTTTTGAAAATCATGATAAATAGACATAATCACTTATTTATCTCACTATGTCTCATAGATATTTCCTGAATTTTCAATATCTTTATATCATGATCTGTAAATGAGGGTGCTGTTAAAGATTCTTAGATTATGAGATAGTTTATATAAAACTGAAAATGTACAATATGATAAAAAATTTTAGGGCTTCCCTGGTGGCCCAGTAGTGGAGATTCTGACTGTCAATGCAGGAGACACAGGTCCCATCCCTGATCCAGGAAGATCCGACAGGTTGTGGAGCACCAAACTCATGTGCCACAACGACTGAGCCTGTGCTCTATAACCTGGGAATTGCAACTACTGAGTCCAGTGCAACTATAGAAATTCACATGCCCTAGAGTCCATGCTCAGCAACAAGAGAAGCCACTGCAATAAAAAGCCCTCGCACTGCAACTAAAGTGTAGGCCCTGCTTGCTGGAACTAGAAAAAGCCTGCATGGCAGTGAAAACCCAGCACAGCTAAAACTACGTGAGTAAATAAAGAAATTATTTTAAAAAATTAAAAATGCTTTCAAAGTAAGCATACCATGCAAAAATAATATTAATTCTAGAAATTACATCAAGTCATTTGGAAGCATTTTATAAATGATCATATTTAACTCATCAAAGTTTATCTCATTAAAAATTCATTAAAGTGATAAGAAAACCCCAAATTCGTAAAAAAGTATATATGGATAGATGGATGGGTAGATAGATACAGATACAGATAGATAGGTATATATCTTCTAAGTTAGTTGATAGGATTAATCAGGCCACTAGCTTTAAAAGTTGCAACTTCTGTAAGTAGAAAATGTGCTATAGCAATGACATTTTGTAATTAAAAACGTTTGAGAGATCTATAAAATGTTCAGATTTTAGATATATGATATAAATCAAGAATACTATGAACTTCATAGACAATTTATTAATTGTTGTTATATTCAAGGATAGGTAAGTTCCATATGTTCTAATGCCATTTATTATTAAATTTTTGACATAATTAAAGTAGGTTTGAAATTAAAATGCAATCGGTGCACTAACACCAAATAATTTTGTCAAAACTAGAATTATTATAGCAAAAATATACAATTTCATCAATTGTATGATGCAAATGTGAATATATTCACTCTACTTAAAAGAACTAAGCAATAATTGTCATACATTGAGTGCTGATTATGTTGCCAGAACCCTAGATATTATCCAGTCCTCAAGACAATCGGAGAATTGAGTGTTTCTCATTTTTCTGATGGAAATGCAGGTGCTAAGTTTGGTTCAACAAAGACTGTGTAAACAGTAAGACTAAAGACTGTGTAAATAGAAGAACTACAGCTCACACCTGAAGATGTCTCCTGGACTCACGTATTCTCTGTCTTTCCCACTTCTGGTAAAGTTGGCTCCTTTCTCTGTCTTTTAGCACACTTATTCGTAACAAGATACTGCTAATTGCCAGCTTTCTTCCCTATGGTCGAAGCCCTTCTCCCTGCACACAAGGGTGTGCATTTCATGTACGAACTGAAGAGATATGCAGATTCTCAAGGTTATAACTGGCAATTTGAGTAGCTTCTTTTGTTCTATTTCATCTTGATTTTTAATACAGCTGCAGCTATGATTCTTCATTTTTAAACCAGATGTTAACCTAGAGAAGAAAACTCAGCAATGTCAGGGGTGGTGAAAGAGTAGAAATGGAGATATGAATGGTGATTTATTTGTGGTAATTTATTAAATATGTATGTACAGATAGAGATAAATGTTATATTTATGAAATCTGAAGAGATGATATTTAAAGCTAATAAAATTAAATATAGTTAGTTCACTTAAGATTACTGAATGAGAGACAGGCATGAAGCAGATAAACTTAAAAAAAATTGACAAATTGAAAATATTTAGTCCTTAGCTTTTCTTAGACAACATATTTTTATTATATCTGTTAAATGATAATTTTGTAACATCTTTGGCCATTTTATAAAAAAATGAGTTCCACTAAAATATAATTGCATCTGAAAGCTCTAATTTAATAGGTAACGCATGGCTAAGTCAATATCATATAACTTATAAGTGGCAGAGTACAAAAATCATAAAATATTTATATATTGACAAAATTCCCAACTCCCTCAAATATGGACTAGAACATTAATCATGCAAGTGAGCTTAGTAACTTTCCTCAGTTCCCAGTTGTTTGTTGAAGTTAGCAAGGTAAAACAGGCATTATACTAACATTTGATGTCAGTGTTACTATTTTTTCTGTATAAAATAGTTGCTATGAATTGCTTAACACATAAAAAGTTTTCTTTTCACATATCTTGATGCCATTTGAAAAATGATATGTTTCAACTGTTGAGTAAAGAAAGAGGGAATGGTGTGTGTGTGTGTGTGTCTTCTTTGAGGTTTATTTATTCATGTGATTCTTTGAAGGAAAAATATCTTTTTTTATTCTTTTTGAATTCCATGGTGTAAAAAGTTTACAAAATATCTTAGGAAACCTTTAAAAAATGAATTTACTTGAAAAAGCAGAAAACTGATTTCATTTTAGCAGGCTGATTAAAATGGAACCAGTAAGATTCACTTAAGATTCATGTGAATAAATATAAAAAATTGTTGTTAAGCACTTCACTTTGAAATAAAATATTTTTTCTTATTTTAGCCTAATGTATATATACTCACAAAAAATATGAATGCCTTAACTAATTAAGCCCAGGCACTGATTATTTGGGGAAAATGCATTAATTTGCTAGTGTTTTTAGATACAATATGCTTAATATGCATAATTTTAAGCCCTGGCATAGTGCTGTTTATATAATATATATAACAGGTATTTGATAAATACATATTGAAGAAGAAATTAATTAGGCTTTTTTTGTTATAAGTAGGTCTTTTTTAAAAAATTAAACCAATATATCCTTTTCCATAAAAGTGATTTCTTTGTACACTTAGAACTTAACATTACCATAGAGATTTTGTGGGAAAGCAATAGCTACATTTCATCTGAATTACTGTTTGTAAAAATCTTTCAAAAAAAAACAATAAGTAAAGCAAAGTAGAACATTAGATATTTTACATTCCATATATTATCATAAAGTGTTTTTTCTTCATTTTTATTATTTTTCCACCCATTTCATACACACTGTTATAAGAATGACCTTTAAACTGTTCTACTTTTATGTTTAAATCAAATACAGTTTTTTTAAATAATAATAGGTATTTTTAATGATTTTTATTGTTATCACCATCAAGTTTTAGCTATCAATCTTGTACCCCGCATAACAAAACTTAATTATTAAAAATGAACACTTACCGGATACTAAAATATCTTTCTGGAACAAGAAAAAAAATACTACAAACACGAAGTAAAAGCTAGCAGCAACTCAACATAATACTGAGAATTAATAAAAATTCTAAGAAACATAAGAAGTCTAATTGAATAGTCTTTACAAGTGAAGGAAAACAATGTTAAGTGTATCCCTGATGAAACTTTAGATATATATTTTTGTAAAGTCCTCATGAGCTCAAATTAAATTGCTACATTTAAGACATATTAGTACAGCCAACATGACATAAAACATGTATAAGCATGTATAAGAGTAAATGACAGACTTAAATAGGACACATTGTCTCTGAACATAGAAATAAAGTTTAAAATGTGTATTTCTATAATGTGCTCAAATATCTCAAAAAACTTTTCATTTTTTCATTATCTAACAACCACTTAACTGCTCAGAAATGTTTTTTTATATTTTTGAACTATGACATAATGATTTTTTTTTGTTTTTGCCCTTAAGAATTGCTTCAATATCTTTTTGGTTGCTGTGCTTCAGAAAAACAACTTATTAGTAATCAGACACCAGAAATTATTCCTAGAGCCAACCATCAATTCCTGTCATCCTGGATAAGCCTAGAACATTTGCTTCTGGAACACTCTCTAAGTACAAGAAGTAGCTCCACTCAGAAAATCACTTTAGGATGATATATTAAATATTTACCCAAAAGATCTATGTGGTAAATATATTATAATGACCCCTGTCATGCTTATTTTAGAACAAACTCAACACTGCAGCCATTTTAATCTAGTTGCAGAGAAATAAAAAATCATTAACACTAAAGTAGGGTCATAAGAAAGCAAAAACGACCTCTGCATTTTTGAACATCTTATTTCTTTGCTTGTTTCTATAAGATAAGGTAAAAAAAAAAAGTCTCCCATGTTCACATTTTAATATGTCAGTGCTTCAGAGCTCCATATTTTTTTTTACCTATATTCTGAACATTTTCATGAATCATATGACACTAAGAAAAATTAAAATGTACCCTCTTGTCTCATATTTTATTACAATGACCCTACCCTAACTGACAGTAACTGACTTAATTGTTCCTTATAATTAAGTAAAATTGGATCTCAATTCTTCTACTCTTAAACAAGTAAGCCCTATAAATTTCTATTTACCGTGTTTTCCAGGCCGTAACAAAGAAGCATACTGTACCTCTGATGTTGCTGGTTGTTGCGGATGTGGTTGGGCAGGTTGTTATGGTTACAGTGGTTGTGACTGTTGCAGTGGTAAGGGAGGGGATGATAGTAGTGGGAAGCAAAGTGTTGGGAACATCTGGTGAGTGGAAAGAAACAAAATATAAAACAAAATCATATCATGCAAACAAAACAGAAACATAAATGATCCAAATTATAGATACACATATCTTATTTAGGTTTACATGTAACAGGCTTAAACAGATTATCTGGTACAAAGCTCCTTGTACCACGCAGTTCTTGTCATTTTTTTGTTCACTTATTTTTCATGCTCTTGCACAAAGCAAAAACCTGGAGCAATGTTTGAGAATAAGCAGACTGCTTGCAATATTTTGAGTGAAATTTAAAATGACAAGAATTCATTTGTTCACTGAGTCATTTAAAATGTTTGACATGCAGTAGCAAAATACAGATAGGTAAAACAAAAATTGACATGCTTTTTCAAAGAAGTAAACAAAGAAACAACACAACAGAAAATATACACAAATAACACCACCATATAAGATTAAAGAAACGTTAACGATGGATGAGTATATGCATGTTAAATACTTTTTGATATTTTTAGGCAAACAATGATAGGAAATAGGGTGAAAGCAATCTTTAGATACAAACAAAAACAAAGCCAATTGTTATTATTATTATTATTACTATTATTTTGCTTTTCCTTTTCTCACAAATGGTGTTAATGTACAGTTTAGAATCTTGCAATTCTTACCCTGATTAGCTGGTAACGCCTTCTAACAATTTTTCAGTACATAGAAGTCTTTAACAAGTATTGGGTCAACTAGCATGGAACTCAATATCTGAAATGTTTATGATTCATATTATTTGGCATACTTAGGAGAAGTTATTGAACATAGACTTGAACCATAATATTCAACCTCTAGTCCATAAATAGTCAAAGCTGGCAAAAGTTGACAGTAGATTCAAGTACAGAGGACATAATAAACTGAAAAATAGTTGAGAGTTTAACAAGATTTTCCTTCCTTTCACTCAAAAGCAGCTGAAACTTGGAAAAGCAGCATAAACACTGAAACAATATAGCCAGTGTCAAACAATGAGAACTTCAGTGAGATCCTGAGAGTCAACTCTTGTCTCAGGTGTACAGGCATATAATTTACACAGTGAGGAAATGAGAAACAGTTCACAAATTACCTGTAGTTACGGTGCTGGAGTTTGATTTCACATGTTTGTTACACAGCCCCTATGTATTCAGAGCATTTGACAAATTATTTTGCTATTAAAAGGCTTCCTGTCATTCCCTCAGTTAAAGTCTGTGAGTCACACTAAAATTTTTCTAGTTCCTTACTTCTGATAAATAGCCCTACTCAATCCTCAGACGTTAACCTGCTGAATTGTCTAAGCTGGAGACATCAGAAAACAGCATGAGATCATTCTCTTATCTTTGGTATTGATATTTACACCTGTTTTTCAACAGGGAAAATACTTCCTGGCTAGTCAAATTAAGAAAATAATCTTCTGAAAATCCAATGGTGCTACATTAGTTACTAGAGAAAATGGGTATTACCTGGTGTGCAATTAACATGATCATGAAGTAGAATTGACTTTAACAACATTATAAATGAATAAATACTATGTATACATGCACGTTCATCTCTTGTTTACTAATTTGTTATACCTTCTTATTTTCATTATAAGCTTCCTAAATACTGTAGGCATGCTGGAGATAAATGAAAGACATTTTCTAAATTAAAAAAAAAAGTGTAATTTGAATTTTTACAAATATTCAAATTAGAAAATAATACAATTTTTGTAAGTTAGTAAAATCATTTGCTCATTAGGATCTCCAAATATATGTACTTAATTAGTGAGAAGGGAAATATCTTCCAGGGCTATCAAATATAAGAATATACAATAATATTAGTCCCTTAAAATTCATTGGAAAGAACTTGATATTACTAAACTATCACAGATTATAAAATATTAGATTATTTGCTATTAGACACTGGATTAGAATAAAATTTCATTGGCTATGAAAAGCAGTTTTTCAAAATCATCTATATCATTTGATTCTCAGATGCAAATAACAGGATATGGTGTTTTTATTATTTATTTATTTAGCAAAAAATCTCACATTGTTTAGATTTCTTTACTTTACTGTGTATCAACAAATACGGGCAATAACTAACTCTGATTTGTTTTGGAGACAATCTACATATTTTCATGAACATTCTTCTATAAACCAAGCAATATTCTTTTTTCTATGTGAAGATACATGATATATAGGGGCTTCCACCCCCATGCTAATATTCAAAAAATATAAAAACAGTGGGTAGTTTTAATAATTGCTAATCTGCTTTAAGAGACCTGCCTTAGAGTCTTTTACAATGTTCACCACTAGTCATTATTGACTCACAATCTGGCTCTTGCTTATCTGATCATCATTTTCTCTCATCATCTCCCCTTGACTTCATATGCACCTAAAAAAAAGTGGCTGGAAGCAATTGATGGGAAGCACCTTGGCTGATATGACAGCTGGGTCAAGAAAATGACTTGTCAAATAACAAATCGCTCCCAGGCACTCTTACATATTTTTAATCACTAGTAACATTATTTCAGTTTACATGTTTGGAAACATTTTTGTTTTTGAAAAAAAAATAAAAATTGAGGGATTCTTTATTCAGTTCTTTCTTCTCACCACACTGTTTATTCAATTATTTCAACTTTATTGTGAAATAGCAAACATTTAATCTTAATATTCAATGCCAGGAGATTAATCAGAATCAACTACAACTCAACCATATAAGATTAGCTGGAATTAGTTGGAATTCTCAGAAAGACCAAGAGAATGGAGTGATATTTCTTGTACCTAAACTTTCTATTGTTATGATTTTACTCAGTTTCACCACTTGGCAATGAAGTTTTGAATGAAAGAATTCCGCCTGCTTTTTTGTTGGTATCTAGCACAATTTAGAAGGTCAATAAAAATTTACTAAATGAATTTGTTCATAGCATTATAAGCATATAATGTATTTTAGGGGATATAGAAAAGTCAATTTTTTGACTAGTTAATATAAAACTAAAATATTTCATTACCCAAAGAAAGGTAATGCCAAAGAATGATCCAACTACTGCACAACTGCACTCGTCTCACATGCTAGTAAAATGATGCTTAAAATTCTCCAAGCCAGGCTTCAGCAATACGTGAACTGTGAACTTCCAGATGTTCAAGCTGGTTTTAGAAAAGGCAGAGGAACCAGAGGTCAAATTGCCAACATCCGCTGGATCATCAAAAAAGCTAGAGAGTTCCAGAAAAACATCTATTTCTGCTTTATTGGCTATGCCAAAGCCTTTGACTGTGTGGATCACAATAAACTGTGGAAAATTCTGAAAGAGATGGGAATACCATACCATCTGACCTGCCCCTTGAGAAACCTGTATGCAGGTCAGGAAGCAACAGTTAGAACTGGACTTGGANCGACTGAGTGACTGAACTGAACTGATTTCATTGCCACTGATCACAAAAATTTCTCTATCCTTCCTACATACAGAAACTTTTTATTTCCTGAAGCATACATTTTCAAGACTACAACCTGAAACTTCTTTCAGTAAATATCCTTGCTAACAAAATGAAGACTTCCCTGGTGACTCAGTGTAAAGAATCCACCTGCCAATGCAGGAGATGCAGGTTTGATTCCTGGGTCAAAAAGATCCCCTGGAGAAGAAAATGGCAATCCACTCCACATTTCTCCCCTGGAAAATTCCAGACAGCGGTGCCTGGTGAGTTATAGTCCATGGGGCTGCAAAGAGTCTGACAAGACTTAGTGACTAAGCAACCACAACAATAAACAACAAAACAAACTGAGTCTTTGTGTACATATTCTGCTACTCTGAAAGCTGTGTGAGCCTGACCTGAGATTCATGCACTCCGCATCTCCTTAGGAACTCCCTCCATTTTCACCTGATTTGAGACTTTCCAAGAAAGGGTGAAAGGCTAGGAAAGACCACTGAGTAACTCATTGTGATCAGCGGTAAATGATCACAGCAAAATTGTGAGTTATCTATTACTATCCCCACTTAATGGATGGGAAGATTTTGAGATAGTTTCCTTGCCTTGAAAATTACACATACACATGCCATATTATAGAGATAATTTTCTTAAATATATAAGTATACTGGAGAGACAAATTTCTCTAACATTTCCATCTCAAGATGATTTATTTTACCTGCCTGACTGTAACTCTTGTCAAAGCAGAAATTAGTAAAATTCTGAGCTGTCTTACTAAGTCCTAACATCTACCTCTCTAGTTTTTACCCTTAGAAGTGAGCACCAACATTTGGCATCATTCAGCAATTATTTTAAAGGTTTTGGCCTTTTATTTAAACATTGATAATGAGAGTGAAGCTATATTTCCATAAGGAAATGCAATATTGGAAACACAAGTAATAGTCATTTACCTTATTTTTGAGGTATCTAGAATCTTGCATATTTTAAAACCATTATGCTGTTAACATAAAGCATACTCAATCAAATATAGCACAGGATATAAAATGCAGATCATTTTCTCCTTTTTTACAACACATTCATTTTTTCTCTCTCCTTGTTGAATAAAATACAATGTGTAGGAAAAAAATACACTGATTTATATGCAGAAGAATGAAAAATGTGCACATATATAATAAAAGTAACTTAATCCTGGTTCAACATCAATTTATTAATTCTGTTCATAAAGCCACATAATCTACAGTCATATTAATATTATAAGTAATCTGCTAAATATAAATATGACATCAATTTAGAAGATTTTTCCTTACATATTCACATCCTATGATTAAAGGGTATTTAAATGGATACAAAAATAGCTATAAATGAAAAACAGAAAAAAAACAATGGTATATAATTTGTGGATATTAACATTCAGAAATGGCAGCTATCTAATAGATCAACCAATTAACTACATGATATTTCATCTCTGTTTTCTACAATATAAAAACTGGTTCAAATTTTTCATTGTCATTTTCCTTGGAAAGCACCTTAATCTAATTAAATATTGTTGAATTTGCCTGAAAAAAAAAAGTGGCTAAGTTAAGAAGTTCAGCATTTATAATTTACAAATTTACTGTATTATATATTTTC